TGTAGAAGAAAAATTAATTTGTTTTAAACTGCTGCATGATGGCCACCCTGGGTGTTCTGTAGTTCCTGCATTACGCAAACCAGCAAAGACCAGTTTTCTAATCACCTTCAGACCATTTGTAATTTTATATAGGTCTCATCCCTCTCTCAGGTATCTCTTTCCCAAGCTAAACAAGTTGCAGTTGATTTAGTCACCCCTCACACAGCAGCCATTCTCTATCTCTGATCATCTTTGTTACCATTCTTTACCTTTTCTATATCTGTTAAATGAGGAATCCAGGCATGCACACATATCATACAGATGAGCTATAGGATTTTACAACGACATCATAAAATGCTATCTATTTATTTCCTAATATTTTCTAACATTGTATTTGCCATTAAATTCAGGAGAATACAGCATGGACCCTACAATTTTGATCTCAGAATTGCAGCCACTGAGAAAAGAGAGCTGCCGGTCATGCTATTTCCTTAACCTGAAATCCTGAACACAGTACACAGCTAGTCTAAAGGTTGATGTCAAGAAAATATGAGGAAAATCCATAAAATGCTCATGGTGTGATCAGATCATATATGCTGTAAAACTCATTGTTAGTTATTTTACAGGTTTGATGAGAAATGTGTTTCGTTTGGATCAGTAATGGCTTCAGAAAATCACAACACAAAAGCCTGCAGACAGATTTCATATAAATGTGCTTTATTGCAGAGAAGTTACATTATTTACATGCTGCAACACATTACAACATAAATCTATCAAGTATTTCATGGTGGATGCTGTTGGTTGCCAGATAACATTGTTATAAGAACCACAGTATAAAGTGAAGAGACTTACAGCTTTATATATTCTACAACTTGGAGTAGCTAAAATGTTAAAAGCCAAAAGGCAGTGTTTTCTCAGGCCTGCCTGTTGTCATATGCATGCAAAAGCCTAAGGAGAGCACATATAAAAGTATTGTCCGGTTTCAGGTTTATGATGCCACCGAAGCTGATGATAGGTGTGTACTGATTTATATTTTAAAGCGTATAATCTTGCATAAATTATACAACTCTAATAAGATTGGTATAAATCTAATTATTTATAAACCATGGCTTAGAAATAAAGGAGAAATGCAGCTTGCACATGCATTTAAAAGGACAACCTAGCAAATGTTTGTGACCTTAGTGTTTATTATCTTTTCTCTTAACAGATCTGCTAGAAAACATCTTAATTCTAGAGCTACACTTCTCTTGCCTGAATAATGACAATGAAACTCCAGAAAAAGACAACTAAGCAATCTAGCCAATATATGCTGGTGGAGAAAAATCTATGAAATACAGAACTTTATTTGTGTCTAACTTAGTATGTCTTCATTAAGCAATGTTTCTAGCAGCATCATAGTGAAATACAATAGTTGAGTGAAGTTTGGCCCCTCATTTTCTTAAGTGCGAAACAATTTGAAGTCCCAATTGAATCTGTAGCCCAAATATCAGTTGCTAAATAAACTGGGGAAAGCTTTGTTGCTTTCTAAAGGAAAGTTCCCCAACTGTATCAGTCTTAGGAGATGTGACTGCAACAAGCCTAAAGAACCATAACAAACATTTTTTAAGAAGTGAGGGAAAGGGTCAGGATGAAAGAAAACAAAACCAAACAAGAACATGCAAGCCAGTGCCTTCCCTGGTACATCAGCCATCGTTCTTTTGCTTGCCGCACAGCTGGGCTGTTTTACACCAGCCAAGGAATGGGCTTTGTTTCTGTGTTTCTAATAAGTTATCTTTTAAAAGAGAAAGAAAGGGAAAACGAAATGAGCAAGGAATTGTAGGTAGATAGCGGTGGCACAGATACAGTCATGCATGAAGGGCTTGATCCTGCCAGTGATGCAAGGGGCAGTGGTACTGTGTGGATGCTTTGCCGACATGGATCCCCTCACCCTTGGTGCCTGTTGCACCCCGACAAGGCTGCCGCAGTGCAGGGGCAGCGTGTCCTTGCTCAGCCCTGAGGTAAAGGAGGGAGGGCAAGATGAGCGAGAGCGCCAGGGCTGGCACCTGCTCCTTGTGCCCGTCTGTCTCCAAGAGGCAGCGAGTACATACAAACATCTCCTTTCATGACTCCTCCTCGGATGCCCACTTCTAAGCTCAGCGCATGGCTCCGACAAAGTACTGACTCCTGTTAGTGAGTCAGGGCAACCTGACATAAGCTGTCCCCCCCACCCCGTTCACACAAACCACCGCTGAGATGGGCTGCAGAACCTCCCTTCAGGGGTAGGAGAGGCACGAGGTGGTCACCATACCCAGCAGGTTTAAAGTTGTGCATCTCTCTGCACAGAGGGTCAGTGTGCTCCTGGAGGACTGACTCCCAGAAAGCTATGTTCCCAGGATGGACTTCTTCCCATGCAGGGAAATTTAGGGTTACTTTCTCTCTGAAGAGCTGATCAAATCTCACTGAAGTTGATGGAAAAGTTACTGCCAAATCCTGTGAGTGTCTGGGACTGGGAAGGGAGAATCTGGGCACACCGGGTCTAACCTCAGCTCTTTTCCACACTAAGCAGAGAGCTGGATTTGGGCTGCACGAGGGCTGCCACTGGCACTGTGTGTGCGAAGTGCGTGCACAGATGTCCAAAGGACCCACACTCAGATGCCTGACTCCCTTTCACAGGTGAACAGGGATTCTGGGCTGCAAGGGTCCCGGCCAGAGAATGTGTGTTGAAGGCAAAGACCAGATCTCCTAGGCCACAACTACACCCCCCAAAAGAGGGGTGGGAGAATCAGACAAGCCCAGGGTAGCAAAGACCTAAGTCAGCAAGTCCCCATGGTGGAATCGAGCACCGTCCAGGCTAACCAGGTTGGTTGGGGCAGTTCGGCCACTTTAATGTGGAGCTAATGAGCAGAATTTATGAGCGAGGCCAATGTGTTTAGACAGCACTGAGACCTGAGCTGACTTGTCCCCAGCTGGCTCAGGTGTCGGCACGTTCCAGGTCAGGGCTTAGCAGAGAAAGATCAGATCCATCTTGATCTGTCAGTGTAGACGTGCCCATAGTCTCCTGTCCTTTTTAAAGGACAAAAAAAGTCCTCTTCATGCCCAGCTTGTCTAAGTCCCTCTGCTCACTGCATTTTATCTTAAGCCACTTTTTCTATGATGCCACAAAAATCAGTTTATACTACATACGTGTATGTGCATGTGTGTATTAGATACGACATTATATATATATTAAACATATATAAATATCTATTTTATATATATATTATATATATATTAAACAACACATTCTATTCAATCATCCTCATTTCATGTTCTTCCACTGAATCCCATCACTTCTCTCAAATTGCACAAGTTCTTCTGGACTGAGCTGTCTTTGTTTTGGAGTACTGTATGTATAGCCAATTCTAGTGAATAGCACTTTACTGGTACTGCATTTAGATGAGTGAGGGTTTTTTATTATTAGTGAGGCTCCTCAGAATCTCTACAATACGTCCTCAGGCCCTGATGGTGTACCATCACTAAGACTCATAGTTGTGAATGAGCCATCTATGAATTAAGGTCATATGCATGATGAGGACTGTAGCTATTACTGAAAATTAGCACTGTATTAAACACTAACTTCTACTGTAAATGTATGTCAAAATAAATAAAAAAAAACAATCAAAGCATTTTGGAGAGTGGGAGAGAGATGCCATCATTTCCATTCCCACTATCTCTTACAATTGCATATATGGGGGAAGAGTAATATTTTGGACTTCTCTCCTCACTCCAAAGGCCAGTTTTTGGAGGTTTGCCAACAGGGGTAAACAGTACACTGTCGTTCTGTATGAGCTAGCTAATGTATTTCCCAGAGTTGTCTGGTTTTAGTAAAACAGGTGATCATTTCTAGGGTATATTCGTTGTCATTCTTGCTTGTCTTATTTAGCAGTGTATGCTCAGTATGAAATACTGAACAAGATCACCACCATGGATGTTTAAAGTAGGCATTCTGGCTTGTTAGATGATATTTTCCAATTAGTAACAAACAACAGATAAGTTGTCCTAAGAGTTACCAGAATATGCAGCTAAGACGACTGAATTTCCACTATTAACAAAGTCTATGAGCTTTAACAGGGAAGTGCATAACAAGTAACTTACTGCATATAAAACCCCTGAATAATACAGTATCAAACTATAAATTTAAATAACAGAGAGTAAACCAAAAAATTCACTATATAAACCACAGGAAATGAAAAAAAAAATCTCCAAAGCCCAAAGGAATTTCCCGACATGAATTACGGCTTCCATGGCCAGTGAAAGATTACTGCAATCCTATATATAAACAAAAAAGTCTACAGCAGGTATTTTAACTTGCAATTAGAAGAAAGTATCTGCAGATTGCATAAATGTGTTGTTGTGTCACATAATATCAAAGTTATTGGCAAAAATTATACAATCTGGAATGCTTTAATATAAGACACAACAATGTACTTAAACACACAGTAGTAAGAAAATGAGAGCAATCATTATATAAAATGTATTTTTGGGATGCATTGAGTTAGCAGTGCTATCTAGATTAAATATGTAAAGTGAAAAGTCGTCATTTTAATAAGCTGCTCATTGATACCCCTTTTTGCCATCAGGACATTTTCTGTGCCCTACTTCTGCTGGATCTTTAAAGTCCCAAGGGCAAGTTAAAGCCAGTTGCGGCATTCAGAAATAATTCGGTTAAGATCTAAACTGTGCGTTTGTTACCACTATTTTTTTTTTTCTTTTAAAAGAGAAGTGATTTCACAAAGGCAGGTTTCTTTCACTGACACAGTAAAATCCTTGGAGCAGGGACCATATTCTGGGCGCTGCTAATCACATTGTTGGCACTCAACAAATAAATAATAACAACATTAATGATCATTTACTTTGCTTAACTCCTACTTATTTGTAGTGCTGATTCCCTTGATTTAAGTGATGCTCCTTAGGAATTTTCAGATCCTTTTGGCCTAAGTCCCCTCTGTCTCTCCTGTTGTCTTTCTTCTCAATGTTGCTACTCTCCTCAGTCCAAAAGCCTCTTATTTTCGAGGTGTTGCTGTTTTATTTGCACTAATAGCAGAGGTGTTCGATAAAGCTACACTTCTTTCTGCATTTGGTAAATCTGGTGTATCATACTCCCAAGGGCAGACTTCAGCTCGAGATGCTAAAGGTTGCTGTAAGTAACTACTTGGCTTATGGGAGTCAGATGAAAGCACATTTCCCTCAGAAGAGGCATTTTTTTTCTGTTCTGCCAATTTATTGAGGTTTTCCTTTTCTGCTGCTTTCTGGGGTAGCTCCTCCCGCTCCCCAGCACAGGTATTAGGTGCATATCTATTAACATTCTCACACTTCAGCCCAGGGGAAACCTGAGACTTGGAATTCGACTGTTTTTTCTCATTTTCAAAGACCTGCTGCTCTTGTGTCTCACGAGTGGCTGCCTCCACCTTCTCTAAGCTCTTTTGATTTGATTGTTGATACCCTTCAGGTGTCTTCAGCTTATGATGAGACTTCCCCTTTGGCTGGGAAGGGTGGTTTTTCTCTGGCTCTGAGGAAGCAATAGACACATGTTTTTGAACTTTAGAGTCAGAAGGCACAGGACCAGGAGTTTGGTCATATATCTCCCAAGGACAAACTTCTCCTATGTCGAAATTGTCCTTGTGCAGAGACTTACCTGGGCCTGTGTCTGGATTTGCAGGTGTTTGACTAACCCTTTGCTGTTTCATAATTCCAGATTTATGGGTTTTCTTTGTTTCCTCAGAGTGGGTAGAGTTCTTCCGGTGGGAATCCTTATGCTCCCCTTTATCGGAGGCTGAGTACTTTTTGCTGGCCTCCTTACCCTTCTGCTGAGATTTATGAGATTTAGTGCTTTCTTCTAGACTTTGTGTTTTACCCGTTAGTCCCAGAGTCTTTTCCTTGGCACTAGCAATAACACTGAGGGATTTTTGTAACACAGATGTTCTTGGATGCAGAGGCTTCTTATCGGCACTTAAGTTATGTGCGCTTACTGATTTGCACACCAAAGGGACTGATTCAGTGGAGACAGCTTCAACTTTTTCCGGAGCATTTTTAGTTAATTTGTTACCATTCAAGGAATCCAGAAGCGAATTCTCAGCAGCTATAACTTCTGTGCTTTCTGTAGTTAGGCTATTCGGTTCTTCTGTTTGATCCCTAACATGATCATAAGTGCTGTGGGACTTTTTTAACGAAAAGACTCTGTTTTTTAAAGTCTCTTCTTTTGGCTTTGCAGAACTTGTGGAATCCTGTGGGTTTTTTCTCAGCGTGGCCATGTTCTTCACAGCACTGTGCTCCATCAGGTCCTTCTCATCCCTGGAGCACTGCCTGGTGACGGTCTCAGGGATTTCTGTAATACGTCGCATTATCGAGCGCCCCAAGCCCTTCTTAGAGCACCTTTTTTTCTGGAGATGTGGGTTATTAGCAATCATCTTTTTCCTTTTATAGATTTCAAGCTGGGCATATAGTTTCTTCAACTCATCCTGCAAAGCAAAGTGAATGGCAAAACTAGTATGTACAGAGTGAGTCCAGTCAAACAAGCAGCCTGATGAATGAATTACCCATTGCTCTAAAAACGGCATTAAACTTACTTCACTGTTTTTTCTAATTCTTGAATATGCCATTTCTCATCAACTTGAATCCCATTTTTTTCCACTGTAAAAGTAAGTTCAACCCTTGTGCACAAACCAGTTACTTTCCACAGCTGTGCATCATACAGCATGCACAATTCATATACATTCATGCTGTATGTTTCAGATTGTGCAATGCTGTGGTGTGTGCTTTTCTACTGAACTCTATAGCTATTCTTTATTCTGGGAACATAAGCCCTTTTATCGTGTAAGATAGGAATAAAGTGTTTTTTCTGTTAATCATGTGTTTTTAAAACTTTATGTTAAACAGTTATGTATAGTTATGTATGTTATGTACAAATGACTAATCACACTGACACCATATGCTGTTTGCACTTCAAGATAATTCAAAGAGCCTATGTAAACTGATAAACAGCTCTTGCTGTGGATGATTCCTCCTCTTTAGCCTCCAGTACGACTTTTATTACAACTAGTAATGCAGCTTCTCTTCACACTAGTGAATATTTTCCATGAGATTTTACATGACCTGATATCACAATCATTGAGAAACCTAAGCTGTTTCAGCTGATATCTGCAAAAAAATGTCAAATGGATGCAATTCAGAGTTTACTCATAGAAAAAAGTGTTGTTCTTGAAAATAAATGCTATTTAAATGGCTTATATATACCCGAATATCTTCAGGATCCAAACTATGTTCACTCCATGCTGAATTGATACTGCTGTTCAGATAGGATCCAGATCGACCCATATCAAGCTCATCTTCATAAGCTTCTGTAGCTATATCATCTCTTGGGTTATTGCTTGAATGTGAAAACTGCAACAAGGATTCATAAAAAAGATGTTGCCATCAGTGCAAAAGTTTACTTCAACATCACTGTAAGAGTTTACATCAACAGTTTTTATAGCACAATGATCCTTCTATGGATTTCATGTGATTTTCTGAACTCAGAATACTAGCTACAGGCATCATTGGCATAAGTAGTGTCCTACAGAGTATCAGTATTTTATGGAAGCAACTCTTATTAATGATGGCTTTAACTTGATAAATCTTAAGAGATGTGCATAAGGAAAAACCTCCCACTTATGCTGATGCTTATTTGAACCTCTTTAAATTGCATTTAAATTAAGCTAGTATGGAAATAGTCTTTCAGCCAGTATTTCCAATTAGGCTGCTAAAACCATAAGACTGTATTTTATATTCCATACAGTTTAATAATCCTGCAGAAAGCAATTCTCCCATTTTAGATCCTGACCCTGAAAAGGAAGAGATGGGGTGGCAAAAATAAAGGAAAAAGAAAAGAAGGAAACAGATAAAAAAGTAGACAAGTTCATTTCTCTCTTCTAAGTTTTAGCAAATGCTTGGGTCAAGAGTTGGAGAGAGGTTGTCAGCTGTTTTTTTATTCATATTGATTCACTCGTCTATAGTTACTATTGTCCACACAGTCATCTGGCCTCAGGACTTTATGAATGGAACTAAACCTTGTGAATCTTCTCTTAATTCCCTGAATTCTTTGGTGTGCTGGAAGAAACGTTTGTGCAGTGTTACACAGATAATAGGCTAAAAATGGAAATGTTGATCAGTAGTTATGAGTCAGCTTCAGAAAAGTCAATAAATTTTCTAGGTTACTCTAGAAAGACATCTCTGAAGATATGTAATAAAGTATATGAATATAAAATAGAAAATAATAAGACTATTGCTAAAGACCAGAAAAGTAATTTAAAATAAAGCAAGGTTATTCAGTATTAAGGCTGCATCAATGTGTCCCTTTGTTATGATTGTTTAATGTACGTATGTTTGACAGTTATCAGCATACCCTGTTCTGACACACAGGCAAAAGATAGGAATAGCAGCTTCATTAAACTGATAATTGTATCAACTTGAACTGCTTAATGTTCTTCCTTCATATGTAGCTTTCACATTTATTGTTCTCTTTGACTCTTGACCTTTTGATTAATATTATCGGTCATTTCAAAAGCCATTATAAAATCATTCGCTTTGCTGGGGTACTAAGAAGAAAGCTCCATTCAAATCTTGTGGAGTGGTGCTACAGACAGGTAGAGCTGCCCGCGGTTCTCCTGCCCCTGGTGAGACTGACATATTGTTGCTTTGCTCCCAGAACCTGACGGGAGGCGTGCTGCAGTGCTTGGAGCGCTTTCTCTTCTCTTCCCTGCCTCCTGTCATGCTCCATCTTCTCGTGTCCCACGCACACTCATCTTCCTACCCAGCGCTGGCTCCATATCACAGGCCATGTCTCCTCTCGGTATGCAGCACCTGTCCGTCCCAGGCTCTCACTCACAAAGGGCTCCCCTTTTTCAGCCTGTAACAACTGCCTGGTTTAAGTCCCAACCTCTCTATCTCATGGCTAATCCAAGCTCCTCATTCTAGTTTTATTTAGCAGTCCATCCTAGTCTTTCTATCCCCTTGCCCAAACTCTTTGTCTGATCTCAGCTAACTCTGGCAGCAGCATAGTTGCCCAAATACCCGAAATAAGCATTGTCAGGCAGGATTCTTTCCTTCTTGTATTCATCACATCAAAATTTTAAGTACTTTAAACCCCTGGAATTTTGAAAGCTGAAAGAAAGAATCTTTGAAAATGTGTAAGAGTTTTTAAAATAAAAAAATATACAGCTTTTTAGGTAACACAGCCAAATTTTACATCTTCCTTTTCTATCAGTTGCTTGCTAATTTTATACAGCATTGCTCCTGCATGACAACATTTATCTTCCTCAGTCTTGGTAAAGGAAAAGAGACAGGAGACTCAAATACCTTAGGGATCAGAAGTAGCCCAACAGTGACTGTCACAGTCAGGTGTGTGTGTGCAAAGAACAGCATCAGCATCCAGTCAGACTGAAGTCTTGAAGCCAGAACGAATCTGAAAATAGAATTCAGGGTTGCAATTCACTGCCTTTTCTCCAGTGCATTAGATTTAACATTTTTAATGTTCCTTAGGTTTCTTTGCATTGAAAGAACAAACACAACTGGTTTTGTTCTGTATTGCTTTCATACAGACTAAAAATTACATCCACATGCTTTACTTACATACCACAATTCCAAAACAACTCCCAAAAAACCCCCAACCAACAAGCCAAAACAAAATATAAAGAGAAACAACAGACTTTAAAGGATATTGCTTATTCCATCATTCTCACTCTATTTAGCTGGGGTTTTGGATGGTTTATATTGTCACAGCTTCTTTGGCCTGAACTGAGTTATGGCAGTTTACATACATTAAGGATCTGAATGGATGATTTTAGGTTAAGTAAGCACATGTACTATGATAAATTGCAGTGCACTTCATAAATACAGGATGTCCATAGATCGCAGCTACAGAGTGTGGCTGATAAGCCATCAAAGAGAGAACTGAATCAAAATGCATTTTAGCGGGAAGCAGAGAAATGGTCTTGATTGCAGGACCGCCCAGCTCAATACCCCAGGGCCCAAGAGCCTTGCGAACGCTAGGAAATGAGTGGCTGAACCTCCCAAATGAAGCAATTCCTTGCTGAGCTTTCTAAAAGAGTGGTAGAACAAGCGCTGCAGTTAAAGCTAGCTGGAGCATGCTTGGCTTATCTGCTTTAGTGAGCTCCCACAGATAGAAATGGTAAGCAGTGCAATGGATGAATGGATGTACCACTGGCCTGTAATTTGCAGGTTTACAAAAATCATTCAGATAGAAATTACATTTGCAACTTATCCAAGTCCACAGTGTGCATCTGCACGTTTTGCAGAAGCTTTTGTTAACAGAAATAGTCTGGCATGAAACACTGGCTTATATACCATAATAATACAGTCATCGTTTCTTGTTTAATACTTTGTAAATGAAATGTTTCATGAACACGATAAAATATTATAATTATTCTTACAGAGATGTTGCTGTTGAGGCGTACAGGGATATGAGGAGGCTCAGGCCTGAGATTTAGCTAACTGAACACAACATGAGAACTATTGAAGATGACGTGAGAAACGACAGGATATAACATACCACAGAGCAAAAAGTGAACAGAAGTTACAGACAGTGCCGTAAGGGATGGCAAGATTTCACAGGTGGTTAATGGGCAGTTATTTGAAGGGTGGCCAAACTTCACAGGTAACTGAAGGGAGCACTGGGAGCCTTCGAGGGAGTAGGACTTGCAAGATCAGCGGTACTGATGTAACCATATCAGTAACAGCATATAAGGCTGTGATTACCTAGCTAATGATATCAGAAATACCAAATTTGAGTACAGATGTAGCAAAACTGGGACCAATAGGAAAAAAGTAATGAGGGGTGAGTTGCTTATTTGGGAGAAGACAAGGACAGAGACAGAGGGGGGCTAAGGTAGATGGGGGGAGAACAAGCATGGAAAGAAGGGGGGATAAAAGGGGCTAGTGACATGTAAGCAAGTTGGAACTGACTGAGCCCTGTATCTGATCACTGCATCTCCTATCTTCTCATTAAATCTTTCTCCTAATGTCTGTGTGATCTCACTCTCTACGCTTTGCACGTGTGTATGTGCAATTCATGAGCAAACCTCAGGCTGGACTAGCCAGCACGAGAGACCCGCATCTGTCATATTGGTTATAATAAATTCAAAAGTATTGTAACTGAATTTTATATCTATCAGGAATGAAAAGAAAAATGCTTCCATCATATACAGATTTTAAACATTGTTTTTGCAGATGTTTGTGTTAGGGAGTAAAGAAGATTTTGAGAGTATCTGGACGTTGAGATATGGGGTAGGAGAAGGTGAAGGAAACAAAAAGTTGCAAGCCTGAAAAGTGCAGTGAACTTTATAACAATGATAAGGGAAGAGAGCACCTGGAAGGAATAGAGATGAAAGATTTGCTTTGCTGATGTTTACTCAGAAAAAATTATGCCTCATGGAAGCAAACATCAAGAAGTCGGGGAGAAATGTGAGTTCCAAGACAGACCAAGGAACAGAGAAGAGTATCTGAAGACTGTCAATGGAGCGATGTAAAAAAAAAAACTTAGTAGATAAGGTCTGTCAGGAGGCAAAGGCAGGCGTGAGAATGTCATAAGAAAGTCATAAAAATCTCTTACAGGATGAGATGAAATTCATGTTATCTTGCTATTTCGAATTTTCTAGGACCAATTCATTTTTACAGGGTACTCTGTAGGAAAGGCATATATAGTAATTTTCATGTAGCTCTGGCAAAGACCCTTATTTATTTGTTACTACTCTAATAATTTACAAGTATGAAATGTAGAGCTCATTATAAACTTCATAAGAAACATGCTATATATTACTGTTACAGCAACATGTGCTTTATATTACTGTTACAGCATCACATGCATAATTATTTTTTATGTCAGCATATAAAACACTATGCTTCATGCACAAACCAGTATAATTATCTTAACATACAGCTGCACCTCGCCAATCTGTTACACACCAGGAAAAGTTCATATAAACCAACATTCTTACCTGCTGTTTTTCTAGGGATACAAACCAGTGAGCAGTATGTAGATGACTGAAGACAGACAGTAGCTTTGCTATATCTAATTTATCATATATACTGAACTTTGATCCAAGAACATATCAGCTAGCTATACTGAAAAGAATCCTAATTATACAATTAACAAGTTGATTGTACACATTCTTAAATCCTATGGGAAGAGCTTTAAGTTTAGGAATCACTTAATTTGCCTCCCATTATGCATCCTATCCCATTCACCCATTTTAAGTTGCACCATATGAAACCTGAAAGATAAATAGTTAATTACTAGATCTACAGATCACTTGCCTAATTGTATGGAATATAGCAGAGATAATGAGCTCATTGTGAACTGCAACAGCCATATAACGTGGCTCATGAAATGCTGATGGGACTGTCCGCACTGCATAGCAGAGATAAACACCCCACAAGAGGAATAAAAATTCAGCTGTGAGAAGAACAAAAAGAAATAATTTACAATTAGTTTTATAGATGAAAAAGGAAGGAAATTTGAAGTACTATAGCATCTTCTGTATGTGTGAGTATCTATGCAAAGACAATATACACTCATACATGTATATATGTACACACATAGGCATTCAAACACTTTCAGATACTGTCACTGTACGTGATATATTTGGTTTTAATTTTACACACTTCTTTTTTCCAGATCGGGAACCTTTACATTCATGGTGTTTCAGTTTTTCAATTGACAAACTTTAAGACAATGTCTAATAATGTCTTGCTTGCTTGCTTTTCAAATTGGTACTACATTAGTTTGACATAACAATAACAAGTATTTTTATTTGTAGCTCTCGTTCCTGTTATAAAGGCAGATACTGGTGCTACTACTAGACTACAAGCTTTTTAAGACAACAGTTTCATTTCAAAGGTTTATAACTCAGATGTAACAATATATTTTGGGTTAAAAAAATTCCTCTGTTCATGATAGTCAATTCTGCTGGTGCCCATAATATGATGAGTCATTTCCGAGGGTCTAATATAATTATAACAAATGACATGTTTCTCTGTTAGGAGAAAAATGAGTAAAGAAAGAAAGGAGAAGGAGTAAAGGGTCAGGATCAGCTTAAACTATGCTGTTAGAGCTAACTCATCTGCACCCAGCAGTACTCTGACTTCAGTTTCCAGCGGACAGTCTGCTGTGACATCATTTTGATTTTGATACAAATGAAATGATTTCATACTCATCTTGAAAAAACTCCCCTTCCAGAAAAAAAACCACAGCTCTGCCATCTAGCTATGAGTAGAGCTGGTGCCTGTCCCTCTTGCCTCGCAGTCTGGGTTGATGATGGCTGGAAGTGTTTGAGTGTTATCCAGCAATGTGCAGTTCCATGTTAGACCCCTGCAATGCCGGCACTGCTCCGGACCAGCTTCAGAAATTGAGTGTGATCCCATTGTTACTCATACACTGCTTTTGCCTTGTTGAATTTTTGCAGTAAAAACTACAGTCAAATGTAGTATAATAGAAAATCAGTTCTTTTTCATACTTATTTTTGCCAACACATGTTATTATACTGTAACTAGAACTGGTGATCAATGACATCGCTCTATGGTAGTGACCAGTATATCATTACTGGTCTGGTTTGGATAAGGACACAAATGCTTGTGAACCCTGCCATTAGCAACAGATTGAAATAAAACTTCTGCATTGGATATCTCATGAGAACAGGTCCTCTGGTTCCTCCACTTTTAATAGTCCATAACTGCTGTAAATTACCTATATGATATTGTTATAGCATTTCAAAACTTTTAGTTTTGCTATGAATCTCAGCTAAAGTCAGTAAGAGACAAGTCTGGGTAAAATGAAAATGAATTTAGTTACACAGATCTCTCTGTGTTTTGAGAAGAGTTCAGTTTGAACAACACTTTGCATGTTTCTTACTTTTATCAAAAATAGATGGCCTGGCTTTAAGACCATCATTTTTACTACAACATCTCCTACATAAACCCAACAGTTTTACCAGTTACATAAAAACGAACATCTGAAAAGGCATAATCCACACATGCTGCTATTTTTGTGTTCTTCCTCACCAAAATCCCAACAATAATAAACCTTTTGACTAAGTAATAGTTTGACTTGGGACCTTACTGAGTGTCAAAATGAAAGAAGCATGGTATGAATCTTCTGAGACTATGTGTCCCAGCCTGGTTTTGAGCTCTACAAAAGCACGTACGCAGGTATGTCTTTCCCACATCCCCCATACACTCACTGTTTGGGCAAACTGGCTGCTACTTCCATTTCATTCCTAGATAATTAGCTATGCTACCAGTGAAGTCTATTACTCTGGTTTCTTAAAAACCAGTAACACAGCAACGATCTACCAAGCCATCTTGCTCCTGAAGTCTTCTCTGAGCAAGTGGAATACAAATTTTGCTTCAATGAAATAAGATTAAAGGCTCCTTTACAAATGCTAGCGGTTTTGTTTTTTGTCTTTACGTACACTTGCCTCGCATATGCAGAATCATGGCACTGAAATGTATTGCTCTTCAAAGCACTGAAATTTATTGCTTTAATTGCTCCGTATTGATTTAGAAGAAATTGAAAAGGAGAAAATGGTTTAACATTAGGTTGCTGAAGCCAGATCACTGTATCTTACTGTCCTACGTTCTATGGAAACTCTTCTTATTAATACAGTTCAGCAGGTATTCCCCAGAACATGCCAGAGAGCCTATTTCCTCTCATTTTGCCTTTCATCCAAAGTCCCCCTGCAGTAAAAAACGCAACATTAGCAGCAGAACTGAATAGGTGAGCTAATTGTGAAATAACAGGCATACTCCACAAAACTACCCATGGTACATTCTTCTTTCTCTTCCTCAGCTGAAGTGAGAAGAGCCTCAAGTCTCTTATTGATTGAAAAGATCAGTTACAAGTGCTAACAGAAGCTGAAAGTTTGAAGAAGTTTGGCTTTTAAAAGGATGAAAACATATGTATAAAACTCCATGTGCTGAAGGTATTCCTACTTAAACTAAAGAGTGTGAGCCAAACTTTGCTTATTCTTAGAAGAAAAAAAAAACCTGGTCTAAGTTTGAAGATTTACAAGAATTAATTTTTTTTTAAATACAGATTTGTATATAGGTATCTCAGAGAGCAAATGAAAATAAAAAAGCCACACCTCCATAATAAAAACCAATTTCAATGAGCTGGGCTAAGTAGGAATGAAGGTAGCATTTGATCTCCAGATCTGATTAATTCTGAAAATTTCACAGTTTTCAGTTTCACAATCATAGTTACAAGGAGTTCCTAAGACAACAAGAGGAGATTTCAAAGTATTAATATACTGGACCATAACAGTAGTTTGCACCATTTAATGCGTAATGCTTTTATAAAAGCTTTACATTTAGAGCAGAGCTGGCATTCCTGTCTGCAGATGATAATTAGTGTGACATCTGGTATGCAACACAAATAGGGAATAGCTTTTAAAACACAAGGTAAAATAACAGAGTTCCTAAACTTGCTAAGTCTAACTCAGCAATAACAAACAAAACAGACTGATAGAAAACCAATTTGTTATCTAAACCACTAATTACACAGCTTAAATGTATCATATAGAAGCTGTGTTTGAGGGGAGAAATCAAATTCATATAATTAGCTACAGACTATTAGTGCAATTTGTAACAAAAACCTGAAGGTGTTATAAAATTTTGCTGTATTGTTTTCTATATGACCTTTTTGGTTTCTCAATATAAAATAAGGTGACATATTAATGTATTTATTACACCAATGAAAAGCACTGATATAACTAACTTCAAATAGATAGATTAGATAGATAGATAGATAGATAGATAGATAGATAGATAGATAGATAGATAGATAGATAGATAGATAGATAGATAGATAGATAGATAGATAGATAGATAGATAGATAGATAGATAGATAGATAGATAGATAGATAGATAGATAGATAGATAGATAGATAGATAGATAGATAATGGAGCACATCTGGCCACCATGCAGCAAGGTTCTTATGTACCACTGATCTCTGAGGTCTTATTAGTTCTGTCTATGGCACACTAGTGACTGTTTTGTGCCAAATATCTTTAATTATTAAAATCTGTGAGATGTGATATGAAATTTCTATTTGGCTTGCTGAATAATTTTCCACTACAAGCCTGGTGTAGAAGAGTGACTTCCTGACCACTGAAGGAATATTTTAGCATATTGCAAACCTGCCAAGACCAAACTCAAAGCTCAAAACACATGATCTTGTTCCTTTAAGTATGATTTATCATAAGGCTTACAAATTAGCCCATTTTACATATTAAGAACAAGAAATACCTTCTTTTCCCCTTCTGAAAAATGATGGAAATTCCTAGGAGAGAGAGCTGTTAACAGCTATCTGGACAGAAAATGTGGAGTCAAAAAAATAAAGCATAAAAGAGCTCTGAAAAAACCTGCAGTAGCTACTTTATAACTGTCCAAACAACGCATTCAGATTTCGGGTGCGAACATCTGATAGATAAGAGAGTAAGAAAAGGCACAGTTGCTTTAAAGGCATAAATGGATGTAGGTATTAATGGAAGGTAAGAGATGAAAATGTAATCTGGCCTCAATATGTCATGTGCACAAATGAATTAATCTTTAAATATCTCTCTTCCTAGTCACTACGTATTTCCTGTCCACATAACCTTTTATCTGGTCTTTGCACTATGTAATCAACCTGCTTAGTTATATTCTTTGGTGTTTAAAAACCACGATCGTTCATTTTCTTTGCAATGCCCATCATGTTTTTGGAAAATGGAGCATTTTGGAACACTTAGCTTGGTCATCCAATACACTGGACCAGACTCATGCCCAGTGCCACCAGCCTGTTACAACTAAGAGTGCGCCATGTCTGCTCACTTGAGATTTGTTTAGGCCATGGCTCATATTCTGCATCTTCTGATAACGAAGGACAATGATAAATGTTCACAGTATGTGATATGTATCTGCTCTATAGAAAAGAACAGACTCGGGGTTGGTATTATTGACAACCACATTTCCTCAGAAGATCTGGGTTAATATATTTACTAGGTTTTGCTAAACATGCAGTTGTCTGTGTTGCAAATTATTCTTTCGTATTTAAAGCCAGTACAAGGCAAAGCCGTATCCAGAGACAGTCTCTGTGACATTTTCTTTCAGTGTCCATTAGCTGAGTTGTGTCATGCCTTACACAGCACAGCGAATGCAGACTGACCCGCTCCTGCCTGTCCAGCCCCCAGCACAAGTAAATTCCTGCGTTAATGCATATCCCCTCTCATTGCCTGCCCTGCAGATGTCTGTGCTTCGCCTGGCTGCACAGAACTGCAGAGTGAAATATGACTGAAATGCAGCTGAAAGCAGTGATCAAAGCCACTTTTCTCTCTTTCAAGATTTGGAAAAGTCATTGAGAGCCTCCTTACACTTGAGTGGGTACGGGAAGAGAACACCCACAGATGACAAACGGGGT